CTTATGGCATGAGATGTTGGACCCATGCTTGCCACAGTTTGTCATTCTCGTAGGCTATCGCCATGGTTTGTCTGAAAGAAAATGTGGGTTGTCACAATAGGAGGAGCCCCAAACTGGTAGTTTTCACTTGAGTTTCCCTTTGAACTCTGTCTGATGACTTTCCCGTGATTTCCTCCAAACCCCAACGCCGTGCCTAGCTCGAGAAACCACCCTGTTCCTCAGTGATTGGCTCCCATTCAGGTATGTTTGAACAAACCGTTCTGTGATACAATAAAAGTCCTATCTCTGACTTCTTGATCACTATACAGGGGATTTGGGATTCCCTTGGCCCCTCACACAAAGTGGCAACCCAACCATTTGTCACAACCATGAACATTCATTGCAAAAGAGGCCTTCTTAGATTTACGTGCTTGCCATCACGCAGCCATCCAGCCGCCAACACTCCACCTTCCCCACTTTCCCCTAGCTTTGGGGCCCCAGGCTGCGTGTTCAGCGAGATGGTCATGTCCCTCGCCCGGCAGCTCTCAATGAACTCGGTAAAGTCCGGGCTCTGCAACCCTGACTCGATCCATTTGCAGGTCAAAACCATCTGTGGGAAAAACCTGAAACCCGCCTCCGTGTTTCCACTGAGTGAGTGGCCAGGGCCACTTTGGAACATTTCAGTTGCAGTGCTCACACATGTCCACGTTTCAGGAAAACTCCTCCCAGAGGTGGTTCCGCTTTGAGCAATCCATCTTTGGGAAACCTAAGAAGGTGGTACGTGCAAAGTTGACATTGCAAAAGCTGCTACTGCGAGCCTGCGATGGCTCATGCGTCAGAAAAATCAGGTGGAACTACTGATGCAAAAACCTCGGAATGCTGAACACTGAAAAGCTGCTCCTCCTCCCCGGCATGCCAGGCCTTTCATGTTGAAGTAGCCGCCCAAGTGAAAGTGCGTGCAGCCTTCCAAGTACGAGGCCTCCAGCTGGGCTTGATGCATCTCGGAACTCAGCAAAACAAACTGCCATGAACTGAGTAGTCCATTTGGAGAGCCCACAATGAGGGTAACTTTGCTACAATGGAGCCGAATTTGCAAGCCTGACAGCCAGTTGGGACCACATTGGATTGCCCCAACAGAATAGCAATGTCACGTGGACCCAATCAAACGCCCGGCAAGCTGAATCACTATTGTCGCACAAGCAAGTGTAACAGGGCTGCCATCGGGATCTCATTTGCCGCAGCTAGAACCTTTTGAAAGGATGTGGCGAGGGTAGCACGAGCTAGGAATGCAGTCAACACTGAAGCCCAAACAGCGGTCAACAGCTCTGCAGACAAAACATCTGATTGCGCTTCTTCACGTTGCTTTGGAACTTGCCTACTTACAAGGGACAAGCAGGAAACAACCACCTTTGGAGGACCTAGCCTGAAATGCCTGATTATTGCAAGCAAGCATCATTTTCTGGCAGCATGTACTATATAAGGCCCCCCCAGCCAGAAAGGGTTAGAAACGCCCCGGAGAAGAAAACATGCGAAACGCACCATCGCAGTCCCCAGCGCAACAGGAGCCAAACACCGCTTGTCGGTTTGTGTGGCCTCCTCTTTGAGATCCCGCGTGGTGAAGGCATCCGTGGTCGAGTAGCAGGACACGAAGGCTCGGTCCGCAGGCCCCGTCAGCACCATGCAAACGGAGGAGGGCAAGTTGCTGAACATCTTGATCGTCTCCTCATGCCCAGTCACGCCGAAATACGCCAAACACCCAAACGCGCAAGCACACAGCCAGATACTATTAGCCGCCCGGCAAAAACTGAGAAGGGACCCACGAAACAGGAGTCCTGCTGAGTAGGAAGGAACAATCTTGCTCCTGGAAACTTCAATTTCCCAGCCAGCATTAAGAGCACCAACGGATAGTCAGCCCTTTCCACTTAAGATGACTTCGACTTATCAACCACATCAAGCCCTAAAGGGTCAGATTCCCAGGCAGTCAAATGTGTCTGAAGGGTCGAGCACAAGTCACTTGAGTCGTCAACGTCTAAAGCCATGTCACAGAATCAACAGCACGCCTATATATATATATATATATAATACATATACATATATATATATATATATTTGGTTGGGAGGGAAGTGCCTTCACTTTGGTGGGTTTGGACTAACAAGACTTGTCATCCCGAGGGCCGAGGGCACACGGCCAAGTTGCGATGGGAAAGCCCTGCCCAGCGATCTGCTGCAGCAAGGATCGGCCCATGGAGTCATTCCCCACCTCAGCCGCAAATGGATTGAAGCCGTGCATCTAACCCCATCAGCCTGGCCCGACTGGGGAGGTTTACCTGCAGGTTGCACGCGACTGGTGACGTGACTAGTAATTGCCACCTTCCAAGGCAGCGAGTTTAACGAGTCGTATTCAAGCTTTCAGGAGTTCAGTTGCACGTTTGCCAGGTCAAATCCTGCTGCCAGCCTTTTTGAAATGTACAGTAGATGCCAAACGCCTACACTCAAAGCCAAGTGTCCATGAAGCATCATCAACCAGTGTGGGCCCACTGACTTCAAGGGTGGGGCCCCTTCCCAGGCCAATCAGTCCGCATGCTGGCTTTGACCACTAAGAGAAACAATGTCTGAGACATGACCGGGACAAAAACTGACCACTAACGCTGTCGGGATCGCAACCAACCAACCGATCCAACTGACCGACCGATCGACCAACCGACCGGGCTGGAAGGTCTTTTTGCCTAGCCCTGGCACAGCTCAGCTCAAAACCCAACAACACCAAGGCACCGCCTGACTGAACTCCTAAACTGCCAGCAGCCTGCCCGGAAAGCAATCCCGAAACAACTGCGTCAACTCAAAAACCAACCAACCAAACAACCAACCAAGCAACCAACCATGCCTGCCACGGCCAAGGCCTGTGCTGGGGCTAGGCAAATGCAAACACACACACACACACAATGGCACACACACACACATTCCCGGCGACCCACAGACCGACCAATAAACCACCCAAACCACCCTGCCCCGCGAATTCCAAGGACCTGGCAGCGCCAAAGAAGCGCACATCCAGGCCCAGTGCATGCAGATGCCGGCCCTGGTTTAGAGCACTGCCCCCGGGCAGCATCTTCCTCAAGGCGCCGAGTGCTGGCTGATACTCCGCTGACCCTCTCTCCAATGACAGAGGCATTTGCAAGACGACAGTCAGCCAAAGACTTCCTGTCAGCTGCCATGATTGTTGGAAAGGCAGCACGTCAGGAGAAATAAACAAGGGGAGAGAGCAGGAGGGAGAAACACAGAGAGAGAGAGAGAGAGAGAAAGAGAGAGAGAGAGAGACACAGAGGGAGGGAGAGAGATAGGTAGGGAGAGAGAGAGAGAGAGAGAGAACTGGAGAGAGAGAGAGAGAGAGGGAGGAGAGAGAGAGAGAAGAAAGAAAGATACAAACATAAATTATTCGCCAGAATCCAACTGGCAAATTGTCAGCTTGAAAACATCCGGAATCAAATCAGCGCAACTCGCTCGGTCTACCTTGCCAAGATTCACACTCTCCGCCTCCACATCAGAATCCTGGCCGTGGCACAGGCAGAACACAGGAATGCGCCTTCTGCGCTCGCGACTCAAATGACAATGGCTGGCATAGGGGACGCACGCCTTTCATGCTGGTTTTAATTTTCAAGAGAGACGCCACTTTGAACCAGCCACCTTGAAGGGATGACTAATTTCGACACATGCCTAAATAGCTCCGCTCCAATGGCTACCCTGGGCCCACACAAAATGGACATGCAAACACACAGCATGACGTGTTCCCTCCCGCTCTCACTTACTCCCTTCCTCCCACCCTTCCTCCTTCGCTCGCTCTTTCGCTCGCTCGCTTTGTTTTTTGTTGCTGTGTTTGTTTCTCTCTCCCCCTCTCTCCTCTCTCTCCCGCTCCCTCTCTCTCTCCCTCTCTCCCTCTCTCCCTCTCTCTCTCCCTCTCTCCCTCTCTCTCTCTCTCTCTCTCTCTCTCCCCCTCTCTATTCTCTTCTTTTTGCATTGTGTCAAACAACACTGGTCAGCTAACATGTTCTAGTCGCTCAACAGTACTTAGCGAACATATATCCATCATATTGTTGCAGGAACAAGCATCTTGGGGACCACAAAAGTATCATTCACTTGATGTCCCCAAACCAAACGTCCACTGCATCCAATCAAGAAACCGCGCGCGCACACTAAGTCTCAAAAATTGGTGCGTCTACAAGTTCGGGACCCCTTGCCGGATGATTTCAACTAAACATGCAAGTCCCCGTCATCAAACCTAGTCCAATCCGTATATGTAGAAACAAGGAAGCATTTTTCAAGGGGCGCGATTTGTTTCAAGGGTGCCCTGTGGGTACGTTTTACACAAAAACTCCATGGAAACCGCTCGTCCGTGGGACAAGCGAAAAAAAATCCCGAGGCCCAGGCCCACTGCGGGAGCTTCTTCACTGGAGCGACTATGTCGATGAAGATGTCACCCGTCATCGCAATGCACGGCGTGCGCGACTGGCACGCCACCGTCCTGCACCATGTGACGACAAAGGGCACCCTTTTACGGTGGCTGATTTGAAAGGAAACCCCTCAAACAAAGCAAATCAACCACGTGCCAGTGGAGGGCTGGAGTGAGCAACTGAATATGATATTATGTACGCATGTTTGTGCAAAGGGCATGTTCCGAAACATGAACTCAATCGAAAAGCCTCTTGAAAGCGATGGTCAACCAAAGCCCATCAACCACGCAGGACATGTATCAACAGCTCACCGCATTCCTAATAAAAGAAACACATCATCACACTTGGCAAGCCTGAACGTGGGCCAGGGAGCGGCATCCCCGCATCCCGCCAGGCACCCAGCCTAAACCGTTAGGGCGTTAGGGAGGGACATTATATATATATATATGCATAAACACAAATCTGTAGTACATAGTTGGTACACGCAACACACCACCGCAGCTCTGGCTAGAAAGACACCACTTTTCCGTACCAAGCTAGTACACGAAATGCGTTTCCTCAGCTCTGGAAGGGCATTTGTCAGTTTCAAGTTGGTAAACGAAACACGCTACGAAACGCACTTCCTTCTGCAGCTCCGGCTGGAAAGCTGTAACTATTCAGTACCAAGTTAACCCTCGAAACCCGCTACCGCAGCGCTGGCTACAAAGCCGCAAATCTTCAGGATCAAGCCAATAAACGAAATGCACTTCCGCAGTCTCCACTATTTCATTACCAAGTAGTGCCCGAAGCGCATTCCCGCAGCTTCAGCTGGAGAGTCTCAACGTTTTGTACCAAGTTGGTGCACGAAATGAGCTGCTAAATGCACTTCCGCAACTCAGGCTGGTAAAGTCGATGCTTTTCAGTGTCAAGATAGCGCGCGAACCACAACATGCACTTCTGCAGGTGTGGCCCGAAAGCCGCACCTTTCCAGCACCAAGCCAAGATTTATACGACGCGCGCTTTCGCAGCTCCACCTGGAAAGTGGCAACGTTTCAGCTACTCCCTCCTCGATCCAAAGCCCATCCTAGACGAGCTTTGACTTTGGAAGATGGCCACAAGAGCCCAAAACAAGATTTGGTTTGCAAGTCAAAACAAAACCGGTCCTTCATACACGACGCAAAACCACATTTTCAGATGTCCCGCTTCCCAACTCGCTGACTACTCTAAAGGAGCATCCGTTGAACAAAGGGTTCCTCGAACAGAATCGTAAAGTCTACGAGGTCATCACCACCCCGTACGCAGCCTATCTTCAGCACACAATTTATGGACGCAGGGTTTTTCACATCAGCGCAAACCATACTCCGTCCTTTCATTCTTCAAACAAAGATCGCATAACACATTTCGCTTGAGGTGACGCGCTATAGAGCTTTCTTTCCTCCTTCACTCCTTCACTGATGCCTGTGAAAGAGCGTCTTTTCGATTAAGGCTGCGCTGGAAACAAAAAAACAAGTTTAAGGACGCAGCCTTGCCCGCGAGGCCACGGACGATTACGCGGAGACTTGCGATTGGCACATAAAAAGACGGAAATTTTCATGTGGCCTCAGATTGAGTAGACCAAAAGGCAAACGGGCTTTCTACAATCTGAGGGCTTAACATTGGGGCGTCCAAACCTGGGGCCTTCAGAAAGACCTCAAACATAGCATACATGGGACCCTGAACTTCCGCAGCTCCGGCTGGAAAGCCGCGAAACTTTCTATGGCATTCCAAGAAACGCTGTAGCTATCAAAGAAGGAGGGTCCTATCGCACACATACACTCCGTTCAGTTGCGCAAGGTGCTTGTAAACAAAAAACAACTTCGCAACTCAAGCGCAAAAGGTTCGTGGAGCCATACACTTTTTGTTCCAATAATGGAAAGTGCACGGGAGTATTGTGGAAGACCGCTTTCGACCAAAGGTCTCGTGTCGGCTTCCATGATCATCCTCTCGATCAGGCTTATCTTTGACCCCGCTTCTGGAATCACGGAGGCTCCTCAAAGTGCAGAAGCCTGTCTCAGCTTGCAACAAGCACTGTACACCCCTGAACATTTAACATGTCTCCTTTTGGTGGACCGCCCCAACAAAAGTCCATGTGAATCTTGGAGGGATATTGTCCGTCAACCAGCCAGTCACGGTGCAAACAGGTCACAGCCCTGCCTCCGATTCTTGCGCCAGGGAAGTAACCTCTCACCATCCTGCAGAGCAAAGCCCTTTGGCATTCTGTAGTTGCTGATGTATTGCAATTGCTAGTGCCCTCTCCTGAGTTTCTACTTGGAGATCTCACTTGTTAGAGGTTCACGTAGAGTTGCCACTGGCCAGTTGAAATTTCTGGGACACCCTGTAACGGGCATCGGACAACCTCTTGAAGCAAGAATGCTGCAAACCAAGCGCTGAGTAGGAACTCAGACTTTCATCGGCCTTGTGCTGCTGGGCAATGCAAACTTTAGCCCTACCTACTTCCCACAACAATAATGGCATATAGCAATCATGTGGCGAAACGGTGGGTATTGCATAACTTCATGTGAGCATTTTGGGTTTACTCCAATACGCGCGGTTCGTGTGATCGTAGTTCTATATGTGGCCTGCGACTGGCTAAACTCGAAGATGCTGACTCGCAAGGGAAATCAGCTGTTCCATGTGCCACATGAAGGCAGTACTGAGAAAAGAGAAACGTGGGTATGGGAAAGATGATGGATGCAGGTCGTCTTCTGGATCACATATAGTTGTTCATCAAATTTCTCAGAACATCTTCCCTCATCCACTCCATCCCCCATCCATGCTAATTACTGTGCTTCTCGGACGGTCATCAACAGGGCATCCTGCCTCTCGTTCATGAACCAAACCAGGAAAATCCATCATCATAAGCAAACGGAAAATGGCTTATCCTCGGTCCAGTTTCGACATGACCCAAGCCAGGGAGCCGTCAGGAAGTGCCCGGCGAGCGCCGCCACAGGCCAGCGCATCGTCCACGCCATGGCCGGCTCGCAAGCTGCGCTTCTGTAAAGACACGACCCTTTGAAACTTGGCGTTTTTTGAGGGGACTCCCCAAAACAAGTGGCTTCCCTTTGGTTTCCCTTTAAACACACCCAAAAAGGGGTACCCTGGAAGGGAGACACACCCATTCGGCTAGAAAACAAGAGAGGGCGCAATAGAAACATTGCTCCCTTTTATTTTAGTCATGAGCTTCGGAGCAACCCTGTTGGGGGAAAAATGCACGACATTTTAGCTGCCCTAGCTCTAAGATACCAAAACGGACAATATCCAGCACCCCCCAACCAGTGCTTGGACAGTACTTGGGGTGTTGGACATGGGAAAAAGCTGCTGTTGGGGGTGCTGGATATTGCAAGATCTCTGAAACTTCTTCCCGACGTATAATTCCGCTTTGTGCCGAATGGCTCGTGTCACGAAAAGCCCCCGCTCTGTCCACCCGCCAAGTTCGTCAAGCGAGGCCATAGAAGGCTGCAAAACCCATGTGCCAAGCAAATCCCGAAAATGCCTAGCCGTGGGACTTTGGAATCCCTGTCCTGCTTTTTTGCCCAACGCGCGCGCCGCCTACCCAGGCAAGCCGCGAAAGCCCATGCCAAGGAGCCCCATGCTCCGATTGGACTGGCAAGCCTTCCCAACCACTGTCAGACAAATGCACTTGAGGTTCCCACTTGCAAGCAAACATCATGCGACCAGTGGACAGGATATTAAAATCTGGACTCGAGCCAACCCTCACTACCAATGCCCTTTCGGGCCTGGTTATGTCAGTGGCAGGAACTCCGCTCAGCGGACCCCTGTGATTTTGTGGATTCCCTACTCACAAGTCAAGCTGCCGATCGTGAAGTACGGCAAACACCCATGTCGCTTTCTTTTGCAACACTTTTTGGCAACCGTCCCTAGCTGAAGCGGGCTGAAGCATACACAGACGTGCAGGGAATCGCACGGCCCAAAGTCCACAGCGCCCATGGCGCAAAGGTCCGAAGGTCACCTGGATGTGCCGCCTGGGACAAGGCCGATGCAAATCCAAACAGACATGTTGTGTTGAAAAAGAAGAAAACAAAACGTATCCCAACAACTGCTTCCCAATGTCCAAAATCCCAACTGTCCAAAACGCAATGGTTGGAGGGTGCTGGATAATGATCTCCCTGTGGCACGCCGGCAAAAACGTTCTTGTTGGCCAATTCCGGGGATCAAATGGTGAGATACCAACCTGGGATTTTGTGCCAACAGCTCGGTTGGCAATGCTCCAATCCCCGTGAAAATGTGGATTCATGCAGTAAAGGTCTCATCGATTGCTTGTCGCACAACAGCCTGACTTACCCGCCCCAGACTTTCAGTGGCTAAACCAAAAAGGGGCAACCCTTTCTCCGCAACAGCTAGACGCGTTGGGGTCTCTGCCCCAAGAAGGCTCCGGATGAGGGTTCTGGGGTGGGGCTCCGCGGGGTGCTGCTCGGAATATCACCCGGGCTTTGTTTGATTGCTTGGCACTAACTGATATAAAAAGTCCACAGATTCGAAGGCAAAAGTCTTAGAGGGGCCTGATCACTTCCGTGGGAGCCAAGTACCTTGCAATCAGATCACGCGAGGCGTAAGAAAAGCCCGGCCCGGTACAAAAGCCGGCACAGGCCTACCCAAACTTATGGCAACAAACGAGAGGGCCGCTGAACCAACATTTGGTTGAGGGACCGTGCTAAATGGGTGTGGCAGTCACATGTTACGGGCTATTAGCAGTTCATCTCCCTGGGGTTTGGCTCACTTCGCGTCCAAACTCCCCGAGCCGAAATGGTCAGATCAGGCGGCGCGAGAGAGGAGCGAGGCTCCGCTTCTTCAGGGTGACCTCCAGGTCCTGCAGTCCAACAAGCTGCAAATGCCGCTGCTGTAAGCTCGTGAAACCTGCAAGCCAACAGCGTGTATCATGTTGAGGGGCACCCCAGTTGTGGTTTTAAAAGGACACCAACAGGATAACCGTCACCATGTTGGGGGTTCCCTAGAAAAGGACTGGCCCCACAAATGAGCTTTTGCTGGGCAGCCTTCGGACGTCGCTTGCACGGGTAGCCGTATCTCTATGTTGGAGCCATATCTCCATGCTCTACTCTACAGTACGTCGCTGGGGGTGTTCCTTTAGGCAACAAATGGGAAACATTGATCTGGGATCCAACCGTGAAATCCACACTACTAAACCGGAAAGAAGGAATCCCCAAGTCAGGAGCCTTTCTGGGCGCGTCTTAAAATAGGTAAAGTATAGTGGACTCCCAAAATTAGTTTCAACCTGTGGTTCCTTTTAAACCAACCATGTTCAACAGGATACCCACCAAAAAAACACAGACCTTTCTGGGTTTTCGCTCGTTTCCCCCCCCCTCCCCAACGCTTCAAAAGTCCTGGTCGCTGGCCAGCGCGCACCTCTCGATCTCCCTGAGATGGTGCCTGCGGAGAGAGAATCCAAAGGCACTTGGGGATGGATCTGCACAGGGTTCCACTTGTTGACTACGTCAGGGTAGACTCAAAGCAGGGGGTGGTCCATTACCCCCAAAAGGGGAACCCCTGGGTTTAAGTCTATCTTGAAAGAGTCAAAACGTGGAACCCTGGATCTGCAGTTTTATCATAACTCCAAAAGCCGAATTTTGGGATCCACAAACAAAGGACCTTTGTCAGGGTGAGCTAGTTATACCTGCAGGTGGGCTCGCTATAAAATAGGCAAATGGATGAAGCGCAAAGTAACTGGGACATGATGAAACAGCTGCGAAGTGGATGTTCTTCGATCCACCTCACGTTTGAGGGTAGCATGCTGGTGCTGGTTCAAAGGGAAACCACAAGAAAAACCGAAGCCAACTTGGGGCATATACAAAGTCAGTGTTTTGCAGGGCATAATAGTTGGGTGCCCCCCAAAGTGAAATCCTTTTAAACCAACTTAAACCCATCCAAAAGAAGTTCAAAACCATTTTGGGAGACACTGGGTTGATTTTTCCATTGTTTTGCGCGAAACGAGGCTGTCTCCAGATAGGGAAGCCCCAAGAAATAAAAGCTCTGCTTCGCTTTCAAACAACCCTCAAAGAGTGTGGCGACTCCAAAAAAGGACACATGCAATTTGCATGATGCAAATAGCCTTCATATGCCCAATGACCCTCCCTCCCCCCCTGCACCAGGGTGGCACCTTTGCAGCTTTGGCCCTTGCAGCCGCCAGCGCCGGATCTGAGTGCTCCTCTCTGCGTCAAAACGACACCTGAAATCCACGACCCCTCCATACCTTGTGAAAACTGCTCAATCTGCGAAGGTGCAGGAAGGGGCTGGCCTGAGCTCCTCGAGCGGCAAGGAAGTAATGTCCAAAGGCATCGTAAGACCTGGCGGGCTGCGGTCGCCTTTGTGTGGTTGACCCCAACACTTTTTTTAGTCAGCAACCCATGCCAACTGAATTCATTCTGTGCCCCACGCCCATCCCTGCGCTTAACAACTAGCTACAGCCAGCACCCGGGACCCAACGGCTTGTTGGACCGTACTTTGGGTTTGGACGTTGGGGAAAAAAAGCCGTCCTTGGGGGACCCAGGTGGATGCTCGAAGCCCAAATGAAGGCCTAGAGATCTCTCTGTGGCCGGGGTGCCCGACGCTCCCGGTCCAGCAACTTCATTTCGACATCATGGGCCTCGCACCTGAAAGCGGAGCACGTGAGTTCACCCTTCACTCAGCCGCGGAATGACCGCCTGGCAGGAGTCATTATAGGTAGTGGACTCGCCGTGGCTGCGAAGCTGATGGGGAACTGGGGGTGAATGTTTGAGCTTGATGAGCATGGAAAGGATTGGCACCCCTTGAGGCATGGGGCACCCCTTCAACGCTCGGGATATCCGGGAGCCGTAGTGGGATGCCCATCTTCAGCCCGCCCTACTCAGGTCCGGGCTTGGACTGGAAGTCCATGTTCCGGATGCTCGCGGACTGGTCCGCTTCCCGCACCTCCCGTGCCAGCCTCGAGAGCAACCAAAATGCGCAACATCCAAGAAGCCACGGACAGCAGAACAAACATTGTGAACTCCTTGGACTGTATTATGACCGTATGTGTGTTTTGTCAAGGGCGCTATTCTCAGGAGCCAAGGGAAAGCCACCTTTCCTTTCTGGGAGTTGCCCTGTTCAGAGACCACCCCGTGCATACAGATGACATATATGCATGCATTTCTAGGATTCGATACACTTTCTGCATTGGAAAGTAGCATTTGAACACACTGCAGTTACTGGAGTTTGATGCAAATTCCCAGACCTCCGTTCCCTGCTCCAACGGACCATGGACGTCAAACAGAACGCCAAGGAAGGCAGGGAGAGTGTAAGCCCGGGTGGAGGATTGGTCCCAAAAGAAAACCAAATGAACTAAGGACCCTCGGACCCAACATCAACTTTTTATCCTTGCGGTCTGGTTTTGAGGATCGGAGCAACACTTCAGCTCCCCGCTTGCTGAGGGTCTCGGAAATCCCTGGCTCATCGGTGTCCTGGGCAGAGCGTCGCGGCTTGGATTAAGGGTCTTCGGAAGACTGCAGTCCTCTTAGAAAAGGCCTGTCCACCATGATTGGCAAAGGTATCTGCACTACGGGACCTTCGTCACGGATGTCGTTTTAGGCCCAAAGCTGGATATGAAAGTCTGGGGCCTTGCAGCCTTGCTACAAAAGGTCAAGGATCCGCAACCGCCGGTCCAGCGCAATACTGAATGCACCCAAGCCATGGCGAACAATCCAACACATCGCAATACATCCGATGACCCAGCCCTAGTTTTCACCTCATCATAAATATGAGTTTGGCATTGGACATAGGCAAGTTTCTTATAGCCCCCTGCAATAAGTAAAGGCCTAGGGCAACAGACGGGGCGGAAACAATACTTACAACCAGCACCCCCTCAACAATTGTTTTTTCCCATGTCCAAATTGTTAAAGACTGTCCCAAACGCAGTGGTTGGGACCCGGGTGCTGGAATAGGCCCGGTTTCGTTGATCGGGGAATGTTCTTTAGGTCCGTTCCACGACCGTCTTCAGCCAAGTGAACGATAGCTGACGATACCCAGAGTCCCCAAAGTAAAAGGGTGTACCTAGAATTCCTCCAA